CACACATTAATTCTTAGTCACCCAGATGTCATGACGAATCCCGAGAAGGCGGTACGTGATGGGATAGCCAAGGCTGAGGCGGATTTTCTCACAAGATGTGCCAATGGCAAATGTGAGTCTGGCAGCACGTGTGCCGTCGCCATGATTGTGGACGACGCACTAGTGACGGGTAATGTTGGCGATACTGAGATAGTATTGTGTCGTGCGGGGTCTCCATTGGTGCTGTCAAAGAAGCACAGCTTGCATAGCAACGCGGCGGAGAGCGAGCGTGTCAAGGCCTGCGGCGGCAGGATCATCAGTAACCGCGTGGGGCATCCAAAGTTTAACCCTCAAGTGCTGAGCCTGGGAATTACCCGTGCCATAGGCGATGCCGGATTCAAGTTGGATGAATACACCGACGGAAAGCCGTCGGGCATCATTGCCGATGCGGAAACTCAAACCACGAAGCTGACCGACCGTGATGAGTTCCTCGTCATTGGCTGCGATGGCCTGTGGGATGTGATGTCGTATGATAGAGTCGTGCGATTTTGCTCCCAGCTTGCAGCGGAGGGCGTGCCACCACAGGATATCACCGATAGATTGTGTCAGGAGGCTTTGCAGCAAGGCAGCACTGACAATGTGACATGTGTGTACATCAATATAAAGACCAAGCAACCAAACTCTGGTGACTGGCGTCCTCTGAGTGCGGCTTCTACCTCTCAGAAAACTGCGTAGGGAGCAAGTAAATGTATTAGTTCTCCGGTTTTTTTTCCTCCACTCCCTTCTTTTTCCGTTGTTTCTTTTCTTTCTTCCTGTGTGTTTTTTTTCTTGTTGTTGTTGTTGTGCGCCTTTTATTGCCATTTTGCCGGTTGTTGGTTTTTTTTGACCCTTTTTTTTGTTACTCGGCGCTGTTATGATGGTGCTGTGTATGACTGTTTGCTGTTTACTTGGGTCACGGTTTTTTTTTCCCCTTCGTCCCCTTATGCCATCGAGAGATGTATAGGCAATGATATTTGCGCGGAAAAAAGACAGTGTAGGTTTGAAGGCGAATTTGGTGGGGGCCGGTGCAGGAAGATTAAAAAAAACTGAATGAGGGGCTACAGTGAGCGCTGTGTGCGTGTGTGGGTGGGACACAGGGGGGTGCTGCTGATGGTGGTATGGGCAAGTGGAGACACGACCGTGCCCAAGGGGCCCGGTGTCGTGGGTGGATGC